ATCCAGAATACAGAAAAAAACTCAACATCCAACAATAAAAAGACAACCCAATTTAAAAATGGGCAATGAATTTGAATAGACATTTCTCCAAAGAAGATATACAAGTGGCCAATAAGCACATGAAAAGATGTTCAACACCACAAGTCATTAGGGAGATGAAAATCAAAACTACAATGTGATACCACTTCACACCCACTGAAACAGAACATAAGAAGTGTTAGGATGGGGGAATGGAGCCCTCATACATTCCGGGGGGATGTAAAAGTGTGCAGTTACTTGGAAAACAGCTTGGCAATTTCTCAAAAAGTCAGAGTTACCATGTGACCCAACAATTTCACTCCTAAGTATATGCTCAAGAGAATAGAAAATATACATAAGAATGTTCACAGCAGCATTATTCAAAAGAGCCAAAAAGTGAAAACAATTGAAATGTCCACCATGGATGAACACATAGGCAAGGCGTGGTTATAGCCATAAATGGAATATTATTTGGCCTAAAAAAAGGAATGAAGTACTGATTCATGCTACAACATGGATGAACCTTGAAAACATTATACTAAATGAAAGAAGCCAGGCAAAAAAGTCCAAATAATATGGTTCTATTTATAGGAAATGTCCAGAACAGGCAAATCCATAGAGACAGAAAGCAGATTAGTGGTTGCCAGGGGGTGTGGGGGGAGGAATGGGGATGGACTGTAAATGGGTATGCAGTTTCTTTTGGGGGTGATGACAGTGGTCTGGAATTAGTGGTGATGGTTGCACAGCCTAGTGAACGTGCTAAAAACCACTGAATTGTACACTCTAAGATAGTGAATTATATGGTATGTGAATTATATCTCAAATATTTTACAAACATACACATACTGAAGATTGCAACTACATAGCTTAAGAGAGGCACAGATAAAGGCCAGGGCAGCTGCCAGCAAGTTGTGAGGCGGGGCTGCCTGCCTGTGGCTGTGGGGCGAGTGCCATGCCTGGGGCAGCCGGCGGCACCACCACAGACAGCCTCTCCACCAGAGCGGGCTTCCCTGTGAGACTGGACCTCCCTGAGATGCTGAAGACACCCCGGCCAGGTCCCCTGGTATGTCTCAGATGAATGACATATTCCAACCTTCTTACCCTACAGGAAATTTGATTTTGAATGATCTTATTTTCTTACTTTAAAACCCAAGCATCACTGTGGACACGTGTTTGGTTTTACATACATACATACACATATTCAGTGATCTCATCTTAGTGAGATATAGTCATCCCATGGAAGTATCTCATGAAGATATTCATCTTATTAGGTCATCTCAAGTAAATGTTCATCATCAGAAATTCAAAAGATCTGAATAAACAAAACAAGGGGACAGTTAAGGCACCTCCCTCTGCCCCTCCCCCAACCTGGAGATGAAGACCTAAGGAAGGTGTGAGTATGGAATCCACACGTGATAGACGGGAGCAGAGAGAAGCAACACCACGAGAGGCAGGACAGCCGCTGTGCGTGGCCAGCCCCGTCCCTCTCCACAGTGGGGTGCCTGGGCCGGGTTGTACCAGCTCACGAGGGCTGATTGTTAAATTTTCAGGAATTTTGCAAACCGGTTAACGTCACGTAGCTTGAACTGAGCCAAAGTGTGGGGAAATTACGGCATGGAATCGGGCAGGTGCGCTATCCCCTGTACACTCTGCACTCCGCTCGTTCAGAGTAGGGGGGTTGAGTAGGGGGAGCAGAGGAAAAAGAAGGAGTTGAGGGGCCATGGGCAGTGCCCAGCCTGGCCCAGTCTGGGGCTCAGGGCTCAGCTGTGCATCACTGGTCACCTGCTTCACACTTTGCTTAAGCCCCTGACTCCAGTACAGCCCCACGTGCCGTCCTGAGGGCTCTGGCTGCCACTGCGGCTACACCTCGGCAGGCTCCTCTGCTGAAGGGGCCACTGGACAAACTCCTGAGGATGGGGGAGAACAGTTGAGAGCACCGTGGTCTGAGGGGGGTGGAGGGGGAGGTTGGTGGATGTGAGGACAGGACTAGCAGCCCCACTCTGCACTGTACCGAGTGTGGGGCCCAGTTTGCAATCTGGCACATGGTGGCCTCAGTGGATTACAGTCACATGGTGGGTGGGCCTCCGCTCTACAGTAGGCCAAGCCACTGAGCTCACACTGCTGTGAGCATCACATCCCAGGATCCATTTGGAGGAGTGCCACTGTCAGGCTGGGGCCCTGGGCAGAGATGTAACCTGCCTGGGCCTTAACATCCTCCCTGTAGAACACTGGTGATGCCAAAGGTCCCTTCAGCGGGACAAAGATTCAGGTGTTCTTAAGGTCCGAGGTCACTGGACTGCTGGGTTGAACTTCTCCTCCCACAGCACACCCCCTCCCTAAGCAACCACACCCAGGCTGGAGGCCTCATTTTCCCTCCCACCCCACCTCAGCCCTCTCCTGGGCTTCAGACTCTCACAGCCAACTGCCTCCCAGGGTTTCCCCTTAGACTTGCCACTGCTCTTCAAATGCTCCCATGGCCCAAACTAGCTCTGCATCCACTCCCGTATCTGCCACCACACACTGGGCATCCTCCTGGATTCCACCCTCTCCGTCAAGTCCTGCCAGTTCCACCTCCCAGATCCCCCGAGTCCATCTCCTCTTCTCCATCCCCATGGCTGCCGAGGAGCGGCCTCCCTTGTTGCTTGCCTCCTGACCAGTCTCCTTTCCCATCTCTTCCTCTGCAGCCCTTCTCTACACAGCACCCAGACGTGTATTTCCAAAGTGCACGGCCGTGCACGTCACTCCAGGGCCCTGCGGGGCTCCCCACCGCCCCCTCTGTCTTGCCTGCTCCGGTCCTGTGGAGAGCTGGGACTTCACGTTGCTGGCAGAGAGAGCCCCAGAAGGTGCGTGAGCTGTACGATGAGGGGGCTGTTTCCAAAGATCAACTAGACAGCACTGGGAGGTGTGGGAGAACCAGGTGTGAGGACTGCCCTGGCGTCTCGTGGGGGCAGAGGACGTGAGAGGGCATGGTGGCATGAAACAGTGAAAATGAAACTCCACAGCTTCTGGGACAGGAAAAATCCCACCCACCCCAAAGGTTGGGACAGATGTCCATTCCTCCACTGGCCTGGCCCCCATGGCTGCGTGTGGAGGGGAGGCAAGCCAGCCCTGGCACTGGCCCTGCGTGTGGGGGCAAACTGCAAAGGCCGGTGTAACCCTGTGCTCACAGCTGCGGGGACAAATGAGCAGGAACACACACTGCAAGAGAAGCAGCACGCCACCAAACATTCCCAAGGCATCGCTGAGGAGTGGAACCTGGCGTGCTTTCTTCCTTTTTATGTTTCTGTTATCTTTTATGTGTCTGGGTTTTTCCTAACTCTCTAAGATGACTAGTATTACTTTTATAAGGAAAAACCCAACTCACTGTTTTTCCGGGCTCACTCTGGTCCCTGTGTCATTTGGTGACCAGCATTTCTCAGGCTTGGTGCGCCCGCTGGACCCCTGCAGCAGCCAGGGCAGGCCGGCCCTGCTCCCACCACCCACCTGCCTTCCCAGCTTCTCTTGCTGGGCTGTCGGCCAACTTGATGGCCTCCACCCCCATGGAGGGTCCAAAGACCCAGGGGTGATAGGACCCCTGCAGAGGGAACGAAGGAGCCTCTAGGACTCTGATCACCTCGCTCCCTGCAGGGAATCAGGGCAGAAGCGGCTGGCAGCGTGTGGCTCTGCCTGATTGTGGTCTTTGCGGAGCCTGAATGACCGCCTGCCACACACCCAACCCCACTCAGCACCATCTGTGGTGCTTCTGATTCTGTTCCAGTTTCACTCTCCCTTCTTTTCCCCGAAAAAGGCAGCTGGCAGGGGAGCCCCACAGGGAATGGGAGGGCAGGGACCTCCCAGCACACTAGGAGCGGGGAGCGCTGGGAGTTGGTTTTGTCCGCAGACTCAGGCCGGGTTGAGGACTGAGTGGGAGCAAACTGTCTCTGAAGCACAGGACTGGCTAGGCAACAGGATATCTGCTATTTGGGTTCCTGGGGCTGCCCTGAGACTCCCAGCCACAGCTCTAATAGCAATCAGAGGCAGTGTGTCCCTGCGGGCTGGGTGACCACCCCACATATCACCCAGGTCTGGGCCACCACCCTGTCCTCTGTGGCTGCTCCCCATTCCTGGGTGCTGCCTCTCCAAGCCCCTTTTCCCAGCAAAGCCACAGGGTCTGCTGGGCCCACAAGTGCCAAGTCAAGGGGTGGGGAAGGACAGCATCCTGCCAGGGCTTGGCTGGAAGGGCCCCCAGGCCTCAGAGACCAGCCCCTCCTACCCAGCCATGAGTCATGCACTTGTAGCCAGCTATGTTCCAGAAAGGACAGCAGAGGCCAACACTGGCCAGACACTCGTGGACATGTGACCGGCCTCATGAGTCACTCAGCATCTGTGGCCTCAGTTACCTCATCTGTGAAATGGCAACAAGGGGCCTGAGAGTGGAGGCCGGGCCAGGCCTGGGGGAGCTGTCTGCCAACACCCCACCCCTGTGCAGCCTGTGCTTGGGCGCAGTTCTGCCCAGACCCCACACAGACCCTGGACCATTTTTAACACTGTTCTCGTTCCTGGCTTACAGAAACAGAAGGCTCCAGAGGTGAGGCCTCCCCAGGATCACACAGCTGGGGTCAGGGAAGCCGGCAGAAGCCGACACTCCGGATTTTAACGCTTTGCCCTTTAGTTGGTGTGTGACCTTGGGCACGTCCTCTGGCCATCACGTCCCCTGGCCCCGCTGAGCCCTGGTTTTCCGTTAGTAAGGGGGTAATCGTCCCCATCTTGGGGAGGTGGGCGGTGGGGTGGGCAGGAGCTTCACCTGCCACTGCCCGACGCCGGCGGGGGGCAAGGGTACGCCTGTCCCGCTAGGCGCTGCCACCCCCGGAGCCAGCCCGGGCCGAGGGGCCAGGCCAGAGGAGCCAGGGCAGAGGCGGGGCGCGCGGGGCGCGGGTGGGGGTCGGTCCCGCCGTCCGGCGCAGACAGGCTCCTCCGCCAGGGGCGTGGGTGGGGGCTGTTACCTTCCCGTCATGGTGGCCGCGCGCTGAACCGGGGTCGTCTCCGGACTCCCTGCCGCCGCGGAGCCCGCCGAGCGCCCGCCAGCAGGTCTGGGGGCGCGGAGCAGGGAGACGCCTAAAAAAGGCCAAGAGCGGCTCCGCCCGCCGCCAGCGCAGCCCGCGAGGTGAGGGGGGACAGCAGTCGAGGGCAGGGGGGTCCGCCCGGCCCGCGAGTGGGGGGGAGCAAGGGTGGGGTCCACGGCAGAGGGAGGAGATGGGCCCCGCCGCCCGCGCGCCCCGGCTCTGGGGACACCCGAGCTTGGCCTGCGGGTCACGTCCTCCCCGCCCGGCTTCGCTCGCCACCTCCCCGGATTCCGGGCATACTTTTCCTTTTAAAGGGAGTGAAGTTATAATAAACGCGGACGAGCCCCCTAGCCCCGCCGGGACGCCCCGCCCGGCGCTCGCCCTCCGCGTCCCGGGCGCCCGGGAACGCCAGCACTGCGAGGACGGGGCCATGGGGGCTAGAGGGGCGACGCTGAGACCACGTCCCCGCCGGCCTCCTAGCCCCGAGTTCCCAGTGCAGTCCGGGCAGGGGACGGGGTCACCTTCGCGCTTTTATTTCTCGGCAGATGTTTCTGCACTCCTTCCCGGGGCACTGGGGACTCCCAGTCCACGCAGTCCCGCCTCCAGGGAGGCCAAGGTCGAGGGGCGAACCCTTGAGTCGTGAGCCTCACTCTGCAAACTTAGATGCCAGGCCAGTACCACCCCGCGCCCCCGCCGAAAATCATGTCATCCCAGTGTGTGAGCAACCCCCTCAGCAAAAGGTACTTTATGATGCAAAAGCAGACTAGAAGTTGTGGAGGAGAGCTGCGGTTCCTTTCTACGATGAAGCTGTTGACAAGCTAGTGAAGAGCCGCTGAAAGTGACCGGTGATACAGAACCATTCAGGGAATCTATTCTGAGAAAATTACTAACGAATAAACTAACGAATAAACAAAAAAGCCTCACTCTGCCTGAAGGCAGACATGTCTAGCTGGACGGCGGAGTGCAGCTCCTAATTGGAAGCAGCCCAAATATTACACTGTGGGGCCGGGGCTGAGCAGCCCGATATGTTAACCGGACTGAACATCATATTACTTCCAGTCTTGGCAACAGATAAAGACTATCTAGAGTTGACAATGCAAAGTAGGAACCCAGAAATAAAATAAACTAACAATGGAATTCAGAAACATGAGTTGATCATAACATGTGGGGTTACGTCTACAGAAATAAGCTTGGAAAAGGCACCTGTTCCTAAGTAGCTGGTATCTTGAGACTAGTGCGGCTTGCAGTTGTTGGTTCTTTTTGCAATTGTGTCTTGGCTGATTCTGTTTAGCTTTAATGTGATGGCTGATTAAGCATAAAGCATGGATGATTTCTTGGTTCATCTGCTTGTTTAAAGAGAAATGCTTTCCCCAGTTGCCGACGCACAGGAACAGGTGTGCTGGGGGCTATGCACTAGCAATCGGCTGCCCCACTGGATGATTAATTGAATATTGGGGTCCTGTGGGAACCAAAGAGGATGAAAAGTAAAAGGCATAACACCAAAGGGCCCTGCTTCCTCCCTCAAGGGGCCCCGTGCCAGCCTGAAAGCCTCCCTTTGTCTGGTTGCTGAGCAGGTGAGGATCTGCCTGTGGCCAAACCAGAGCCCTCTGCTGCTCACCCATCCACCCAGCCTGCCTCAACCCCAGGCCATGGGCAAACTCAGCAAGAGCTGGGTGGCGGCTCTGGGCATCGCTCGGACCCACCGGAGGTATGGAGGCTCCAAGGAGCCATGGGCCTGCCTCCTATGGTGCAGCCAGAGGTCAGATTTGCCATTGCCCAGCGGTGGTCATGTACGTTCACTCGCTCACCACCCATTCATTCAAGAGTATTTATGTTTCACGGGCACAGGAGGTGCAGCAGTGACAAGAGGACGTGGAGCACGGCCTCCGCGAGTTTAGCTGGAGTGGAGGATGGACAGTAAAGAAGTAAACAGATACATAAACATGACTTTAGACAGGGTCAAGAGCCGCGCAGAGAAGGACGATGTGGGGGCTGCTTTAGAGTGGAGGGGCAAGGAAGGCTTCTGAGGAGTGACGTTTGAGCTAAAACCCTGAATGAGGAAAACAGCCGGCAGAAGGAACAGCAGTGCAGGGGCCCCGAGGTGGGAATTTGCTCAGGAGCTCCAGGGTCAGGAAGAAGGCAGTGTGTCTGGAGAAGAAGGAAAGAAGGGAGGGGCCGCGGCTGGAGTCCCAGGGCTGTGGTGGAGGTCAGATTCCCCCTTAGGAAGGTGGGGAGCCTCAGCAAGTACAGACACACACTCTGACACCAGCATGCATGGATCTCCCAAACACGACTCCAAGTGAAAGAAGCTGTACCCAAAAGAGCGACTGCCCCATTTGTGTCAGGCTCTAGAACAAGAAACTAGTCTCTGGTGAGAAGGTTCAGGATGGCAGCTCCCTCCGGTAGGGGTGGGGGCAGGGATTGGCTGGGAAAGGGCATGGGGGAACTTCTGGGGGCGATGGTAATGTTCTGTTTCTTACTAGGGGTTTAGGTCACACAAGTGAATGCATTTTTCAAAACTCATGAAATATACAGTTAAGATTTGTGCGTTTCATTGTATGTAAATTTTACCTCAAAAGAAAAAAAGAGCTGTAAACAAATATTAAACCCTAGTTAATGATGTGCATGCTGAGGTATTTACGTAGAAAGGCACTGATGTCTGTAACTTACTTTGAAATACATTTTAAAAATCAAGATGGGTGATGGACTGGTAAAGGGATAGATAGATGAGCAGATAGGTGGTAAAATGAGTAGAGTACAATATTAGTGGGAGAATCCAGGTGGTGGGTACCTGAGTATTCATGGTAAAATTCTTTTACCTGGACTGGGGTATTTGTGGTGGGTGTGGGTGTGATTGGGGTCAGAATCCAGATGATCAGGTTTTCTTGCTTTCCTGCATGTTAGCTTGCAGTGGAACAGCGGGCGCAGACCAGGCGAGGGGGTGTGACAGCTGAGGAGCCTTTTGCACATCCCAGGGGAGATGGCTGGTGGGGAGTGGGCATTGTGACCCAGGAGCTCAGAAGAGAAGTCCAGTCTCTGGCACAGACGTGGGAGGTGTGGTCACAATGGAATTTCAACCAAGAGGCTTATGAGGGTGTCTATGCAGAGCCAGGAGCCCTCCAAGGGTGAGAGGTCCGGGAGAGCAGCGAGGGAGGGCAGCCAGGGGGCGAGGAGGAGAGAAGCGAGGTGTTACAGGAGCCCAGAAGGCGCAACTGCTCCCTATGTGTAGCTCCTACAAGTGCAGAAGGACAGGGAGGGACCTGAGTTTGGTGTCAAGTGCAGGCCCATGGGAGTGAGGGACCCTATCCAGCTGGACGCGTGAGGCAGGGCCCTGCACTGCCCCACTCTCAAGAGCACCCCTCACTGTGGTCCACACAGACGGTGCTCCCTGGAGTGGGGCACACAGCACCCTAGAGGGAAGAATGAGGTGACAGGGAACACTGTAACTGCTTTGAGAAATCTTGCTCTAAGGGAACCAGAGAAGTGGGCAGAGCGGGCAGGGAGTGGGGGGGAAGCGTGCAGTGAAGAGGCTGGGCTTTGACCGGGAGGGAGACGCTGATGACACTCAGAGAATGAGAATTGAATCACCCACTTAATGTGATTCAGGGAAGGACAGATGGGGCTCTGAGATGTCAGAGATCAAGCCTGGGCCACAAAGTCAGCTGTGAACCAGGTTTCCACAGGGTGACAGGGGAGCTGTCCTAGAAAAGAATGGGAGGTGTGGGGTCTCCCCAGGTGCAGACCCCGCTACCCTCTGGGGCTCAGGGCAGCTGTGAGCACCCCCTTCACAGGGGGTTTCCTAGTTGCCCCACACCACCCTTTCACCTCCCCCCTCCATCTGACAGACTGCTTGAGCCAGCCCAGTGCTGGGGGGTCCTGTGGGGGGTAGCTCGTGGGGGCCAAGGGAGGGGCTGGGCTTCCTTTGACCAGCATGGCCTCATCAGTAGCGGGAGAACAGAGAGAACCTGGGGGCTCAGAGGTCCTCAGTGGCCTCCTCTGATATCTAGAGCAACAGCCCTGCCCCCATGTGACCACAGGGGACGGAAAAGTCTTTGCAGGGTCTGCTGCCATGGCCCAAGCCCCAGCAGGAGCCAGGGTGCCTTCCCAACATGCAGGACCAGTGTCACACTGTGTCACGTGTGATGAGGGCACCCTGATGGCCCTTCTGCCCAAAGAATCTCCCCCCACATCTGGTTTAGGCATCTCCCTCTTGGGCATCGGGGGTGGTCAGACATGGAGCCGCTGTTGAGCGGTAGCACATAACAACTTAGCTAGCTCCTTCAGCTCTGAAGTTTCTTCCAGAAGTGGCCTATGAGAATGCCTGGGGAGGGGCAAGGAAGCACCTGGACCACTGGAAGAGAAGCTGGACCTTTGTGGCTGGAGCCTGTCCTCGGCCTGGGTTTTCCAGGCTGAGAAACGAATGGTGGGCAGCATACCCACCTCTGTACACCCACAGATATCAGAACATTTGCTGTTTTGACAAATAAATTTTTCTACTTTAAAATGTGAGCATGCCCTCAGAACAGTGCTCTGCTCTTATCCACACCATCTGACTAGCACAAAATGACCTTACTTTTTCCTGGACCACACAGAGCTCAGGGAAAGAAGCTGGCGAAATCATAATCCACTAATTCTTTTAACACTTCTGGAACAAATGACAAGAGACCCAGAGATTTTTAGCCGGTGGAGAACATAGAACCCTTCTTGTGAGTCTGGTTTACTCAGGTGTAGAGCTGAGCCAAGGAGCTTCACAACTCCAGTTCTATGTCCTTTCCAAAGCCCACCTGGCCTGCGGTGTTGCAGAGGAAAATGCCCTTCCACTCTTACCTTAGCTCTGGGACAGGCATGACTCCACTCACGGGTTTGGAACAAGGAAGAGGCCCCTACCAGGCATTCAGGAATGCCACATTTTTGCACCTCAAAGCCTGATGGCCTTGGTCATCCAACAAGAAACCACTGTGCAGAGTGACCAAGAGTGCTTCACCTGCAGGGTCCCTGGCCTCTCATTGCTTCTAAGCATCTTTCTTCCATGTGCTGAGGTTCATTCATTTCGCTTCCTCTTTCCCATTAGGACAACCAACCCACCAACCTTCCCATCG